CCTTCACAACTTAACTGATAGCATTTAACTACATAAATTTATTTTGCACTCATTTAAATAGAGGTTACAGTACTTATGGAACATGGCAATACATTGTCCACATCATCCAGAATATTTAATAACACATTCAGTAACTAATTTAATTCCATTTACTTAAAATAATTTATGAATTAAGTTAAAGCAATTTATTTAGTAAGTTGTTTATCTGAAAATTATGAAAAACTAATGACAGTTTTACTACATAACATAAAAAGGATACAATGAAAATTGCAGGCAATTAACTACACCATTTTCAGGTACAAAAGAGGTACAAATTACCAGCACTATCAACACACATGACACAAAAGTAATATAAAACCTTAATGAATTAATTATGTTTGCTCACCCAGAGTGCATTATTATATTAATAGATAATACAGAGATATTAAAATATACTCGTGCAAGAACTACACACATACACACACACGCACACACACACACACACACACACACACACACACACACACACACACACACACACACACACACACACCACACATATATATATATTTTTTTTTTCAACAAGTCGGTCGTCTCCTACCGAGGCAGGGTGACCCAAAAAAGAAAGAAAATCCCCAAAAAGAAAATACTTTCATCATTCAACACTTTCACCACACTCACACATTATCACTGCTTTTGCAGAGGTGCTCAGAATACAACAGTTTAGAAGCAGGGTGGCCCGAAAAAGAAAAACTTTCACCATCATTCACTCCATCACTGTCTTGCCAGAAGGGTGCTTTACACTACAGTTTTTAAACTGCAACATTAACACCCCTCCTTCAGAGTGCAGGCAGTGTACTTCCCATCTCCAGGACTCAAGTCCAGCCTGCCGGTTTCCCTGAACCCCTTCATAAATGTTACTTTCCTCACACTCCAACAGCACGTCAAGTATTAAAAACCATGTGTCTCCATTCACTCCTATCAAACACGCTCACGCATGCCTGCTGGAAGTCCAAGCCCCTCGCACACAAAACCTCCTTTACCCCCTCTCTCCAACCTTTCCTAGGCCGACCCCTACCCCGCCTTCCTTCCACTACAGACTGATACACTCTTGAAGTTATTCTGTTTCGCTCCATTCTCTCTACATGTCCGAACCACCTCAACAACCCTTCCTCAGCCCTCTGGACAACAGTTTTGGTAATCCCGCACCTCCTCCTAACTTTCAAACTACGAATTCTCTGCATTATATTCACACCACACATTGCCCTCAGACATGACATCTCCACTGCCTCCAGCCTTCTCCTCGCTGCCACATTCATCACCCATGCTTCACACCCATATAAGAGCGTTGGTAAAACTATACTCTCATACATTCTCCTCTTTGCCTCCAAGGACAAAGTTCTTTGTCTCCACAGACTCCTAAGTGCACCACTCACTCTTTTCCCCTCATCAATTTTATGATTCACCTCATCTTTCATAGACCCATCCGCTGACACGTCCACTCCCAAATATCTATACATTCACCTCCTCCATACTCTCTCCCTCCAGTCTGATATTCAATCTTTCATCACCTAATCTTTTTGTTATCCTCATAACCTTACTCTTTCCTGTATTCACCTTTAATTTTCTTCTTTTGCACACCCTACCAAATTCATCCACCAATCTCTGCAACTTCTCTTCAGAATCTCCCAAGAGCACAGTGTCATCAGCAAAGAGCAGCTGTGACAACTCCCACTTTGTGTGTGATTCTTTATCTTTTAACTCCACGCCTCTTGCCAAGACCCTCGCATTTACTTCTCTTACAACCCCATCTATAAATATATTAAACAACCACGGTGACATCACACATCCTTGTCTAAGGCCTACTTTTACTGGGAAATAATTTCCCTCTTTCCTACATACTCTTACTTGAGCCTCACTATCCTCGTAAAAACTCTTCACTGCTTTCAGTAACCTACCTCCTACACCATACACTTGCAACATCTGCCACATTGCCCCCCTATCCACCCTGTCATACGCCTTTTCCAAATCCGTAAATGCCACAAAGACCTCTTTAGCCTTATCCAAATACTGTTCACTTATATGTTTCACTGTAAACACCTGGTCCACACACCCCCTACCTTTCCTAAAGCCTCCTTGTTCATCTGCTATCCTATTCTCAGTCTTACTCTTAATTCTTTCAATAATATCTCTACCATACACTTTACCAGGTATACTCAGCAGACTTATCCCCCTATAATTTTTGCACTCTCTTTTATCCCCTTTGCCTTTATACAAAGGAACTATGCATGCTCTCTTGCCAATCCCTAGGTACCTTACCCTCTTCCATACATTTATTAAATAATTGCACCAACCACTCCAAAACTATATCCCCACCTGCTTTTAACATTTTTATCTTTATCCCATCAATCCCGGCTGCCTTACCCCCTTTCATTTTACCTACTGCCTCACGAACTTCCCCCATACTCACAACTGGCTCTTCCTCACTCCTACAAGATGTTATTCCTCCTTGTCCTATACACGAAATCACAGCTTCCCTATCTTCATCAACATTTAACAATTCCTCAAAACATTCCCTCCATCTTCCCAATACCTCTAACTCTCCATTTAATAACTCTCCTCTCCTATTTTTAACTGGCAAATCCATTTGTTCTCTAGACTTTCTTAACTTGTTAATCTCACTCCAAAACTTTTCTTATTTTCAACAAAATTTGTTGATAACATCTCACCCACTCTCTCATTTGCTCTCTTTTTACATTGCTTCACCACTCTCTTAACCTCTCTCTTTTTCTCCATATACTCTTCCCTCCTTGCATCACTTCTACTTTGTAAAAACTTCTCATATGCTAACTTTTTCTCCCTTACTACTCTCTTTACATCATCATTCCACCAATCGCTCCTCTTCCCTCCCGCACCCACTTTCCTGTAACCACAAACTTCTGCTGAACACTCTAACACTACATTTTTAAACCTACCCCATACCTCTTCGACCCCATTGCCTATGCTCTCATTAGCCCATCTATCCTCCAATAGCTGTTTATATCTTACCCTAACTGCCTCCTCTTTTAGTTTATAAACCTTCACCTCTCTCTTCCCTGATGCTTCTATTCTCCTTGTATCCCATCTACCTTTTACTCTCAGTGTAGCTACAACTAGAAAGTGATCTGATATATTTGTGGCCCTCTATAAACATGTACATCCTGAAGTCTACTCAACAGTCTTTTATCTACCAATACATAATCCAACAAACTACTGTCATTTCGCCCTGCATCATATATTGTTTTCTTATTTATCCTCTTTTTCTTAAAATATGTGTTACCTATAACTAAACCCCTTTCTATACAAAGTTCAATCAAAGGGCTCCCATTATCATTTACACCTGGCACCCCAAACTTACCTACCACACCCTCTCTAAAAGTTTCTCCTACTTTAGCATTCAGGTCCCCTACCACAATTACTTTCTCACTTGGTTCAAAGGCTCCTATACATTCACTTAACATCTCCCAAAATCTCTCTCTCTCCTCTGCATTCCTCTCTTCTCCAGGTGCATACACGCTTATTATGACCCACTTCTCGCATCCAACCTTTACTTTAATCCACATAATTCTTGAATTTACACATTCATATTCTCTTTTCTCCTTCCATAACTGATCATTTAACATTACTGCTACCCCTATATATATAATATATATATATATATATATATATATATATATATATATATATATATATATATATATATATATATATATATATATATATAGGCCAGCATTTGTGCATTTGTTGTACATATTTTGGTGTTGCCAGTGTGATCTTTTGATCCTGTCAGTACTGATGTGTTCCTGCAAATATAGCCGTGGGGTCTAGGAAAGGTGGACCTGCCAGTGGGGATGTGTGATTCTGCTAATGTGGTGTTTTACCTCCATAAATGTAATCTTTTAAATATGCTAGTGTGATCTTTTAGTGCTACTATTGGATTAATGAAACCTGCCTGAATGGTTGTATGTACCTGCAGTATGACCATCTGGGCATGCGAACGTGGCCTAAGGGCCTGTGTGTGTGATCTTATGTGCCTGCAAGCGTCGTCTTGTTAACCTGCAAGTTAGGTTTTGTAAACATGTCAGTACTGTATTATTGAAAGCCCAGTGTTGCCATGAGATCTTGCCGTGGTCTTATGATCTTGCCAGTGCCGTCTTGTGGACGTGACAGTGTGGTCTTTGTACCTGCTAATCTGGTGTTTTGGTTCTGCAAATATGGCCTTGTAAGTCTGTTAGTGTGGCCATGTTGCCTGACTGTGTAGAGGTTGTCTAAGCGACTGGTAGTGTTATCTTTTTAACCATGAAGTGTGGTCTTTTATGTCTATCACTCTGATCGTCTGGGCCAGCCCATGTGGTCGGGGCGATCTCTCAGTGAAGACTAGTGGACCTGCCTATATAGTCATCTGGACTGAAATGTGTGGTCTCTTTAACTTGTCAGTGTGAATTTGTGTTTTGTCCAGTTTGAGCTTGTAGTCATACCTATATTGTATTGTGGTCTTGGGGTCATTCTAATGAAGTCTTGCGACATTACCTGTGTGGTCTTCAGGCCCAGTCAGTGTAATAAAATCTTCTGGATCTGCCATTGTGATCTTGTTAGCTTGCTAGTGCGATCTCGTGAACCCAACAACATGGACTTGAGGACCTGACAGTGTGATTTTTCAGGTCTCCCTGTGTGACTCTGAGAAGTTATTTGTAATGTTTTGTGGGCCTTCTTAGAATAGTGCTTTTGTCTTTGTCAGTGTAGTCTTATAACTTTGCCCGGGTTATTTAAGGGTCTTCCTGTGTGGTCTCCTAGGATTGCCAGTGTGGTCGTGTGGACCTGCTTCTGGGAACTTGTGGATCGTAAACTGTGTCCATTGTGAACTTGTCCATGATGTCTTATATGTCTGCCGGTGTAGTCTGACAATTTTGTCAGTGTGGTAGTGAGTGAGCCTTTGTGGTTTTGTGTACCTGCCAAAATGTATTGGTGGACCTATCAGTGTATTTTTTTTTTCTGTTTGCCTTGCCAGTTTTATTTTTTTTATCTGCCAGTGTGGAGTCGTATGTTTATGACTGTTGTATTGTAAGCCTGTCTTGGCCTTATTGTCCAGTTTGGTATTGTAATTCTGTCTGTATTGTGTTGGTTGGCTTTGTTCACGGGTCTTGTACATCATTTTGAGTTTTTTTTTTGTTGACCTTGCAGTGCTGTCTTGTGATCTTGCAAGTATAATCTTGTCATTCTACCAATGTGGTCTTGTGGACCTGCTACTGTCGTACTGTAATCCAGCAAGTTTGGTTTTGTGAGAATGCTAGTGTGGTCTTGTTTGCCTCTGTGTGTAATCTTGGTATCTTAGTTTTGAGATCGTTTGAACCTGCCATTGGTGTCGTTTGAGCCCGTCTGGCTATCCTACTGTTTAGGCAGCTTGGTCTTGTTGGCCTGCTAGTGAGGTCATATGTCTTGTCTACCTTCCGCTGTGGTCTTGCGAACTTGCCGTTTCAGTGTGGTTCTTGTGGACCTTACAATATGATCTTATTAACCGGTTTGTATAGCCATATAGTCCTGTCTCTGAGTTCTAGTGGTCCTGCCAGTGTGTTCGTGTGGTCGTACTAGTGTGGTCTTGTGGTACTGCAAGTGAAGGTTTGCGGTCCCGTCATTATGGACTTTTATAACGTCCAGTGTGGACAGTGTGGAATTGTGGTCTTGTGGTCCTGCATGTATAGGCTGGAGGTCCTGACATTATGGGTTATTATTACTGCCAGTGTGATCTTGTAGTCGTGGAAGTGTGTTCCTGCAAATGTAGGATTATGGATCTGGCATTATGGTCTTACAGTTCTGGCAGTGTGGTCTTGTAGTTTTGCCAGGGTGTTATTGCGAGTCTTTTGCGTAGTCTTATGGCTCTGCTAATTCTGTCTTGCAGAACATAATAAAGTGAGCTGGATTCCTCAGTGTGGCACTGATGCTCTGTCAGAATTATCTCATGAATAAAAAACATGGTTTTGAAAACTGCACCACTGTACTTCGCGACTTTGCCAACGTAAGCAGACTTTTTCAACCTCTATTATGATCTTACTGATTTGCAAGAGTGTTCTTGTATACCTGCAATGGAGACAATGTTGACCAACCAGCGTGATCTTATCAATATGCCAGAGTGATTTTCTCGTCCTTACAGTCTGAGGATGTTGGCCTGCTTTCGTAAGGTATTGTGGACATGCGACCTTATGTGAACTTATGGACTTGCCAGTGTGGTCTTGTGGACCTACCAATGTAATTTGGTGGAACTGCCAATGTGGTCTTGCGAACTGGCTGGTATGGTCTAGTGAGCCCTACAGTGTGACCTTGGGAATCCACCAGTAAAGGCTCATGGGTGCACCAGTGTAGTTTTACGGACCTTCCAGTGAGGATTTGTTGGCTCTCCAAGCTGCAAGTATTCGTATCTGATGTTCAGTGTTGCTTATCTTGCACAGAATAAGTAAAGTGGTGAGTTTCACTGAATCTCGGAGAGTGATAATCGATGTACCTATTATCCTGGTGTGAGCTATTGCGTTAGGTGGTTATTTTGTTTTTGTCTTCAGGAAACACAAGAATCTGTTCTTCTAGTGCAGATCATTGTCAAATGATGACTCAGTGATTTAGCAACATCTGTCGTGCAGGTGCTTTGTATCTGTCATTCAGCAATAACAGATCTACCGCTGCTAGGTATCAGCGGTTAAGAAACAAATTAATGTACCAGTGCAAGATTTCAGTGAGTAAACAACTGTTGTCATTCCAGTGCTTTGAATCTGTGATTAAGCAGCGACTGGCGTACCAGTGTGGACATTAGTGATAAGCAACCACAGATGAAATGGCGCTGTGAGCTCTGTTAACAAGCATCCGCTTACGCTTTCTGGCCGAGTATCAGCAATAAAGGGCACGCTGACTTACCGATGCTGTGTATCTCATATTAAGTATCTAGTGACGTACCGGCGAGGTGATTTTGTAATTAATAAATCTCTGACGTATCAGTGTTGTTTATATGGAATTAAGCAACCACTGTCCTATAAGTGGTGAGCATCAGTGATTAGGCATCTGCTGGCTTATCGGACCTAGGTTTCCCATATACTAGAAAACAAAGTATCAAAACATAGCATCCTAGGAAACTAATATACAGTGAGAGGATGAACGAGTTAGACTGGTGTGTGGAATTAAAAAGAAAGGTATCATGTAAGTGAAAACAAAGTATATGCATGATATTGCTGCAAATATATTGCACATGTGCCTTAAATAAGGTAAAGAAAACCAAATAACATATATGCTTATAAAACATGAACGTTTTCCACAAGAAATAATGACTTTTGAAATGTGACAAATTTTGTGAAAAGAAAAGTATGAGCAACTAGACAAAAGGAAAAAAAGAACCTTGTGGAAAACTATGATATGGAGAGTGCAGTCCATAAAATAAAGGAGACACGCACGCTGCATACGAGGTAGACGAGAGGAGAGCGAATGAGATAAGACTAGTAAGAGGAGGCTGGTGATGTAAATAAAAGGGTAGAGACACCACAGGCTCAATACCTGCATTGAGCAAACACACAGGACCAGGAAGGGAAGAAGGATTAGGAAGGAAGGAAGTATAGCAAAACCAAAAAGAAAGTATGGGGCAGTAGTAAAGCATATAACGAAGAATGGAAGAAGGTAGGGCAAGAGAACGATAGGAGTAATTCTAAGAGAAGAGCTGGTGATGTTTAGTCCTCCCTGCTGAATTGCCGCCTCCTGCTCGCCTGCTGCAAAAAAATGAATTACAGTATTAGTTTTATGAAGATTGTGCCAAGATATTTTTAGGTCGATGATGACCTTTTATCTAAGAAATGAAATCAAGCATAAACACTAAATTGTAAGTAAAAGCAAGTAGCTACACACATACACACACATACACACACACCTCTCCCCCTCTAACATCTCTCCCCTCCCATTATCTCTCCCCTCTCCTTTTCCCCATCTCTCTCCCCTCTCGCTCTTCATCTTCCCCCTCTTTCCCCCTTTCTCCCCCTCTCTCCCCCTCTCTCCCCCTCTCATTGCCTTCTCTCACTCTCCCTCTCTCCCTCCGTCTCTCTCTCCCTCCCTCTCTCCCTCTCTCCCTGTCTCTCCCTCTCTCTCTCTCTCTCTCTTGCTCTCTCTCTTCCCCTCTCTCTTCCCCATTTTCCCTCCTAACTCTCCCCCTCTCCTACCTTCCCTTCACTCTCTCTCTCTTTTTTTTTTTTTTTTTTTTTTTTTTTTTTTTTTTTTTTTTTACACAGGGTTTGACAAGGTTAAGGATCCCTAGCTTTATTGACAGCTATTTACAGGTTAAGGATTCCTAACTTTATTGGCAAGCTAAGAGCTGTTACCTACATCAGCTCATTTGAAAGCATTTTTATTGTTATGAGACATACAAGTAGGGAACAGGATGAAGTTAGAGCCATCTGTGGGCCAGCATTTTCATTTGATCAACTGACGTTATCTCGTTGACATCATTATGCTGTACGAATGTGTTCCATACTCGAGTCATCCTGGGTATGTATGATCTCAGATGGAGTGATGTTCTGGAGAAGGGTACAGCCAGAGTGAAGTTGCTGCTTTCTGCCCGTCTTGTGGCATAAAAGCTTGTTTCACGCTGTCCTCGAAGTGGATCCAAGTGTGGTATTTTGACAATATTGGCCTTGTACATAACTGTAAGGCCACCCACATCCCTCCTATGTTGAAGGCTCTGCTGAAATGACAGATCTATCCAGGATGGGTCCAGGCGAGAGATGAGACGTCTTGCTCTGTTCTCTACTCTGTCAAGCAGTCGCAGATGAGAGGGGAGGCAGGCAAACCAAGAAAGTGGAGCATACTCAAGGTGTGATGCGTACTTGTGCCTCGTACAGGATCTTGCAACCCCTACTGTCAAGCACGTGCGAGATACGGCGAAGTGCTGTAAGCTTCCTGGCTGCCTCTCTCCCCCTCTCTCTCTCTCTCTCTCCCTCTCTCTCTCTCTTGCTCTCTCTCTTCCCCATTTTCCCTTCTAACTCTCCCCCTCTCCTACCCTTCCCTTCACTCTCTCTCCCCCTCTCTCTCTCTCACTCTCACTCTCTCTTCCCCTTTTTCCTTCTCACTATCCCCCTCTCTCTACCTTCCCTTCTCTCTCTCTCTCTCTCTCTCTCTCTCTCTCTCTCTCTCTCCATCTCTTCTCCATTTTTTCCCTTCTCACTCTCCCCCTCTCCTTTCCCCTTTCCCTTCTCTCTCTTTCCCCCTCTCACACTCTCTCTCCCCCTTTCCCTTCTCACTCTTCCCCCCTCTCTCTCTCTCCTTCTACCTTTCCCTTCTCTCTTCTCTCACAAAAAAAAAAATGGTGGGGACTCGCAGGAACCAAGGATCAGATGAGAATGGTTCTGGTAGGGAGGAGTGGATGGAGGAGCAGTGGAAAAGGATGGAACAAGAGTGGGAGAGAAAATTAGGAGAGCTTTCTGAAAAAATGGAGAAAGAGCCCTCTGTGAAATTGGAAAAGAGGTTGGAGAAGCAGACAAAGAATTGGGAGGCACAAGTCGAAACTGCAGTAGCCAAGATAAGGGTCCTAGAAGTTGAGATAAATAGGCTGAAGCGAGTTACAGGGGCAGTGACCAGAGAAGACACAGCATGTGAAGCTGCGAGGCCGAACAGGAAGGAAGGAATTATGAATTATGCTAAGGTCATATCAGCCTGCCAAGGAGGACCAAGGAGTGAAAGGGAAGAACAGCTGGTTGCAGATGGAGAGGGTGATAGGTAGAATGCTGAGGCACAACCATGCTATCAAGAGCCACTGGAAAAATCAAGGGAGAAACTGACCACATACAGGCAGGATCCAGAGTCACAGAGGGTGAGGCAATGGGAGGAGGAAAGGGCAAAATCAGTGTTTATCCATGGGCTTCAGGAGAGAGAGGAAAGGACACACACTGAAAGGCAGCAGGTAGAAATAAAGGAGATTGAGAAAATCATCACGGAAAGAGGTGAAGAGATGGACGAGATTGTAAATTTTCAGAGAATAGGGGGGTACTCGAAGGGGAGAAACCGACCAATCAAGCTGATTCTCAGGACGGAAACAGTGCGGAACAGGATCCTCCAAGAGAAACCACGATTGAAATACTCGGAAGAGTACAAGAGGGTGTTCCTAGATAGAGACAGAACAAAATCAGAACGACAGCAGCTGAGGGAGAGGACAAAAAAGCGAAAGGAGCTAGGAAAAGAGACAAGGATGGAACCAGCAGAGGTCAGTCAGAGCAGAACAGAACAGCAAGGGCAAGCACACACACAACTATTCTCAGAACCATACAACCTATCACACCATCCCAACACACACTACAGTCCATACCCACAGCCTCCACCCAACACTGAGCTATAGAATCCCACAGTATGCCACCAGGTCTCCCACCCTCACAGGCCCCCCAAAACCACAGTGTTGGAAAGGAAACTGAAGGTATGGTACACAAACGCTGATGGAATAACAAATAAGTGGGAGGAGTGGCATGAAAGAGTCAAAGAAGCATCACCGGACATCATAGCTCTCACAGAAACCAAGCTTACAGGTATGATAACAGATGCCATCTTTCCAACGGGATACCAAATCCTGAGGAAAGACAGAGGGAACAGGGGGGGGTGGAGGAGTGGCATTGCTGATCAAAAATCGCTGGAATTTTGATGAGTTGGAGAGAGGAGACAGCGGAGAAGAAAGTGATTACATAGCGGGAACGCTTCACTCTGGAGGTCCCAAGGTGGTAAGAGTAGTGATGTATAACCCACCGCAGAACAGCAGGAGGCCAAGGCAAGAGTACGACGAGAGCAATAGAGCGATGGTTGACACACTGGCTAGAGTGGCCAGAAGAGCTCATGCATGCAGGGCAAAGCTCCTGATCATGGGTGACTTTAACCACAAGGAGATCGATTGGGAGAACTTGGACCCACATGGGGGCCAAGATACATGGAGGGCTAAGATGATGGAGGTGGTACTGGAAAACTTCATGTGCCAACACGTAAGGGATACTACAAGAGAGAGAGAGGAGATGATGAACCAGCAAGGCTGGACTTAGTATTCACCTTGAGTAGTGCAGATATCGAGGACATCACATATGAAAGACCCCTTGGGGCCAGTGACCATGTGGTTTTAAGCTTCGAATACATAGTAGAGCTACAAGTGGAGGGAGAAGCAGGAAGGCCAGGATGAATGAAGCCAAACTACAAGAAAGGGGACTACATAGGAATGAGGAACTTCCTGAACGGGGTTCAGTGGGACAGAGAACTGGCAGGGAAGCCAGTTAATGAGATGATGGAATATGTAACAACAAAATGCAAGGAGGCTGAGGAGAGGTTTGTACCCAAGGGTAACAGGAATAATGAAAAAGCTAGGATGAGCCCATGGTTTACCCAGAGGTGCAGGGAGGCAAAAACCAAGTGTGCTAGGGAATGGAAGAAATATAGAAGGCAAAGGACCCAGGAGAATAAGGAGAGCAGTCGTAGAGCGAGAAACGAATATGCACAGATAAGAAGGGAGGCCCAAAGACAATATGAAAATGACATAGCAGCGAAAGCCAAATCTGACCCGAAACTGTTGTACAGCCACATCAGGAGGAAAACAACAGTCAAGGACCAGGTAATCAGGCTAAGGAAGGAAGGAGGAGAGACAAGAAATGACCGTGAAGTATGTGAGGAACTCAAGAAGAGATTCAAAGAAGTGTTCACAGAGGAGACAGAAGGGGCTCCAGAAAGACGGAGAGGTGGGGCACACCACCATGTGCTGGACACAGTGCACACAACCGAGGAAGAAGTGAAGAGGCTTCTGAGTGAGCTAGATACCTCAAAGGCAATGGGGCCAGATAACATCTCCCCATGGGTATTGAGAGAGGGAGCAGAGGCGCTATGTGTACCCCTAACAACAATATTCAATACATCTATCGAAACAGGGAGATTGCCTGAGGCATGGAAGACAGCAAATATAGTCCCAATCTTTAAAAAAGGAGACAGACATGAAGCATTAAACTACAGACCAGTGCACTGACATGTATAGTATGCAAAGCATGGAGAAGATTATCAGGAGAAGAGTGGTGGAACACCCTAGAAAGGAATGATCTCATCAACAGCAGCCAACAGGGTTTCGGGGACGGGAAATCCTGTGTCACAAACCTACTGGAGTTCTATGAAAATGGTGACAGCCAGTAAGACAAGAGAGAGAGGGGTGGGTGGATTGCATTTTCTTGGACTGAAAAGAAGGCGTTTGACACAGTTCCACACAAGAATTAGTGCAAAAACTGGAGGCCCAAGCAGGGATAACACGGAAGGCACTACAATGGATCAGGGAATATTTGGGACAGGAAGACAGCACGAGTCATGGTACGTGGCGAGGTGTCAGAGTGGGCACCTGTGACCAGGGGGGTCCCGCAGGGGTCAGTCCTGGGACCAGTGCTGTTTCTGGTATTTGTGAACGACATGACGGAAGAATAGACTCTGAGGTGTCCCTGTTTGCAGATGACGTGAAGTTTGATGAGAAGAATTCACTCGATCGAAGACCCGGCAGAACTACAAAGGGATCTGGACAGGCTGCAGACCTGGTCCAGCAATTGACTCCTGGAGTTCAATCCCACCAAGTGCAAAGTCATGAAGATTGGGGAAGGGCAAAGAAGACCGCAGACGGAGTACAGTCTAGGGGGCCAGAGACTACAAACCTCACTCAAGGAAAAAGATCTTGGGGTGAGTATAACACCAGGCACATCTCCTGAAGCGCACATCAACCAAATAA